TCTCTACCTTTCTAGCTGTTGAAAATCTGTTCCTATTTGAAGACCCAGAGTAAAGACACTTTCTTTCCCCCCAGGTTTATTGAGGCCTATTTGACAAATAAAATTGTATATATTTAAGGTATACAATGTCATTGTTTGATATACCTATACATTGTGAAATGATTACCACAATCAAGTTAATTCCCACATCTATTATCTCACACAGTTAGCGTTGTTGTTGTTGTTGTTTTAAGAACACTTACTATCTGCTCTTTTAGCAAATTTTATATATATTATGTATTAGTAACTGTATATTATTACATATAATTATATCATTAACTATACATTCATCATAGTGTCCATTAGATTCCCGGAGCTTTCTCATTTTATAACTGAATGTTTGTACCCTTTGACCAGCATCTCCCCATCCTTTTCACTCCTCAACCCCTAATAATCCCTATTCTACTCTCTGGCTCTATGAGTTTGACTTTTAGATTCCACATATAAATAAGATCATACAGTATTTGTCTTTCTCTGGCTTATTTCACTTGGTATAAGGTCCACCAGGTTCATCCATGTTTTTGCAAATGGTGGGATTTTTTTATATGGCTAATACTCCACTGTGTGTGTATTCATGTCCATATCTAGATCACATTTTCTTTGTCCATTCATCCATTGATGGACACTTTGGTTGCTTTCATATATTAGCTATTGTGAATAATGCTTCAATGAACATGGAAGTGCAGATATTTCTTTGAGATATTGCTTTTATTTCCTTTGGATATATACCAAGTAGTGGGGTCACTGGATCATATGGTAATTCTATTTTTGAAGAATCTCTTACTGTTTTCCATAACGATTGTACCAATTTTTATTTCTACCAAGAGTACACAATGGTTCCCTTTTCCCCACATCCTCACCACAAAGTGGCACTTTCTTAGGCAGTATTTCTGATTCCTAAGCCCACACCTCTATTAGATACTTAAATAGTCCTCATCCTGGCATTAGTTCTTCTGTTACTAAATGAAAGTAACATGATTTTAAGCTTCCTGGAGGTAGTTTTCTGCCTATATTGGATGGTCTTTGTATATAGCACTATTATCAATATAATGAGTACAACATGCTGTTGTAGAATCAAATAAGAGTGTTTATGTTTATGATTTTAATTTTAAAGTATAAATATTTATAAAAGTACAAGAGCTAATCCCATGAAAATTTATATATACATCTGTGGCCTTTTAGGAATCACAAGAGAAATAGGTAGCTTAAATATGGTCCAAAGCATATCACTCAGCTCTCTATCAATTTGTGTAATAAAGAATTGCTATTCTAACAAAAAAATATAAATAAAGAAATTGGGACTAATATTCTATAAAGCCAACTGACCTATGCAGACACTCTTTTGGATTATGAAAATATATACATTTAATGGCTTTTTGCTATTCAGAGAAACAAATAGCAGCCTAGGAGTCAAGTTACACAGAAGCACCCTAGTTCTGACCCAGACAAGTTTCATACCCACTTGCGAGCCATGTTCCCACTGCGGCTCAATTTCCTTGTCTGTAACCTGAGGGATTTGGGTGTTGGATTTTGACTAAGCCCTATATCTGTTTATTGTCTGCTTATGTTCAAGGTTTTCACTACATTTAAAACCGAGAATGTTCTTGTTTGAATGCATAAAATATTCTTGCTCATTGATTCTGCATTGATAAAGGAACAAACTAGTTGTCTGTGGCTGAAGCCCAAGGGTGACAACTTAGTAGTAAAGTTATTCCCCTTGTAACACCAATTTATGACAGACTGCTAGTGCCTTCTGCTGGGGGAGTCGGCTAGTGATGTCTCTGCACCTTGTAGACTCCTGAACCTGCATTTATTGTGAGAAAGGAGCATCCGACTTCCTTCCCCAGGCCCTTCTCTGCAGATAGATGACATTGACTTTCCAGCTGCAGTTTTCTCCCTTATAATCTGTCAATGCCTCTTGTTTGAACTTTGATGCATTTCCACAGTCCATGGAGCTGAGATTTTGTGATGTGTTAATGCTTCCTTTTGGATTCTACTGGACTGGATTAGGCCCCATAAAGGTGGTTAAATTAAAAAGTAAATACATTAATTGATCATTGATGTTATGAAAAAAGATACAAGAAAACTTTATGTTTAAAAATATGGGAGAATTTTATTAGGTTTTATTATAATGCCCATGAGATTTTTATAGATGCTGAGATTTAAGTCCTGAGTCCTTTTTTTTGGGGGGGGGTGGTGATATTCTTTTAAAATTATTTTGACTTAACTGTTGCTGTATTATATAACAGATTGATAAAATTTGAAAACTGCTTCCAAGTTGTCCACCAAAAGTTTGAACTGCTTTCACCAAAAGTGAGTGCATCTGTGTCTTGTCAACACAGAGTATTATTAATTTGTGCTCTAGCACTTGTGAAATCAAGCTGAAGGTGATCTCTTGCAGAGATGACATTTTTGCTTGGCATTTTTCTCCTGTCATTCTCTTGTTCCTCTTATCTTCAATAAATAACTTGAACAAAAATTTTCACCTCAGCTCAGGTTTTAGGGAGCCTGACCAAAGACATGTGGTTTACGGCTACAAAGATGGAAACAAAGAATAGAGACTGGATTAGGAACATGTTAGAGATAGCGTCTACAGGAATAGACCTGCAATAGAAGAGAAGATAGAAATCAATCAACTCCTAGATTTTGTTATTTAGCATTGTGTTGGAGAATGGCACTATTTACTAATAAGAGATTTCTAAAGGGAGCAGGTTTGCAAGGTCGAGAGGGAAACATTCTATTTCAGATAAGTTTGAGATGTTTCTAAGTGCATACGTGCGTCAGGTAAGCAATTGAATGTACGAATCTTTTGCTCCAAAAGGCAGTCCAGTCTGAAGATCTATATTTGGGATTCAACCATGGTATTCAAATGGTATTTGAAGGAATGTGATTGAATGAGAGTATTTCAGGAGACTATAGAAGAAGAAGAGAAAGTTTCCTAGGGCTGTGTCCTTGAGCAGAATAAGAATATCTAGCAAGCACTTTGAGGAGTAGTCAGTAAGTGGTGAGGAAACCATGGGAGAGCTGTGTCACAGAAACTGAGGGGATATAGTGTTTCAAGGAGGGTGCAGCCAACTATTGAATGCAGCTGAGTGGGTGATGAAGATAAAGACAGATAACAGATCATAAACTATGGCAACAGGAAAATTATTGGTGACTTCGATAGGAGAAGAGTTTGACAAGAAAAGATTCTGAGGTGATGGAAATGAAAGAAAAGGAGAGATTGAGAGATGATGAAGCAAACACATTGACCTAGGCAACTATTATCACTGTGAACAGTAGTGAACAAGGTAGTAAGTCAAGTGAAACAAAGATTCCAAGAATATTATTTTTATTGACATCATTAGAACGGGAAATTTATTTTACCAAAGAGAGGGGACAATTGCAGGAGAAAGTCCTTTAACAGACCAAAAGTGATAGAACTTAGTTTGTGAGCAGGAGTTGGCTCCATCCTGAAGCAGACACATTTCAAATTTACAACAAGATGGATTCTAGTGAATATAAGTGTCAATGAAGGAAGTTTCATAGATGTTGTGGTGTGTAGCTGAATTAGTTTTAGTATGATTATGTCTTATTGTAATATCAAATGAAGGTCCCAGATGAGATGAAGATGAGAGGTAGGGTAGGTTGTTTAGAGATTTGAAGAGAGAAAAGTAAGGATAAAATAATCATGTTAGAGACTAGGAAAATTTCTTTACAATGGAGATGTAGTACAAATTTCTTGCACTGTTGAGTGCCCCTTTTGGTATGTATGCTAGTAATTTTTCAATAAAACCAATTATCAAGGTAATGAGTGTTTTTTTCCAGCCATTTTTTGTAGGTGTAAACATGAATTAGGAGAATATCTAGGTTTAACTAGCTTCAGGGTTTTGTCAGGAAAACACAAGGGAGTTAGAGAATTTTCAAGGGAATGGTAATGAAGACAGGCTGTGAGATCTAAGCGGGGCTATTAGGCAAATGAGAGGGAGGATAGAAAGAAAAATAGGGAGGTAAATGGATTTGAGATTTCTTTGAGGAAGAAGGAATGCTGGAGTATGGGTATTAGAATATATGAGCTTGAACGATAAGAAGGGATAAACAGAGACTGGGATGTTTGACATCCACATTCAGAGATGTTAGTGACATTTGTGATAACAAAGTCAAAAGTAGAAGTAGGTGGTTATTGGAAATATCATTAGATGAAGGGAGCTGAGAAACTGTGGGGACAAACTATTGAATCTTCTACCTGGGCATCCAAGCTCCAAAGTCAGAGACAGGAGTCGCGCTATAGAGGACACGAAGGAATAGGAAAAGGCCACAGTCATCAGGGAAACAGAGAGATGGGGAACTGGCACTATGTGATATTTGTTTTATTTAATTGATTTATCTAAATGATTAATTTTCAAAAATATATTTTATTATAGGAGTGATAGTAAATACAAATTAAAACATAAGGCCAAATCTCCCATAACCCCATTACTTTATCAGAGGGTGCTGGATTTTGACTAAGCCCTGTATCTGTCTCTTGTCTGCTTACTCTGGCCCGCCCAGGTGTTCCAGTTGCTTACTCTTCCTGGCAGGTGCTGTGCCCATGAGGGTCTGCCTCCTAATCAGGAGGCCTGCGGAAGCAAGCCCTCACATGAGCAGGCCTTCTCGTTGTGCTGGTTGACCTCCTACCCCAATGTGCTGGTCTCTCCCACAGTGCTAGAATTTGGGACAGCCACTATTAATCATGGTTGTAAAATAGGGCAGCGGTGCTTCATTCTCAAAACTTGTCTCACCGTGGACGCGCCAGTCAGATGGTGTCTCACTATTTTCAGCGTTGACTGTTTGATCACCCTCCCGGATCCATCCAGGTCGTCCTTCCGTCCCGGTTATATTTACAAGTTTCTGGGCGAGTCTGTCCCCTCCCTCCCCTGCGACCAGGTGTGAGAGCCGAGCTGCCAGGCTGTCTTGAACATCTGCTGATTGTTTCCGAACAGGGAATTATGGGGAGAGCGGCATGGATGCTTTCAAAGAGCTGGCTGCCCAGGAAGGCCTCTGCATCGCCCACTCGGACAAAATCTACAGCAACGCTGGAGAGAAGAGCTTCGACCGACTGCTGCGCAAGCTCCGGGAGCGGCTGCCCAAGGCCAGGGTGGTGGTCTGCTTCTGCGAAGGCATGACGGTCCGCGGCCTGCTGAGCGCCATGCGGCGCCTGGGCGTGGTGGGGGAGTTCTCCCTCATCGGAAGGTAAGCCTCTTGCCCGCCCCTGCTCCCCCCACAGAAACACGCGCTCCGCACCCACAGGTGCGGTCCCAAAGCTGGACTCCGAGGGGGTGAGTGAGCAGTGCTCTGCTGGGCTGCTGTCATTTTCCTGACAGCCAAGAGGACAGCAGCGGATGACAAGGTGGTAAGACCATTTCAGAAAAGGGTAGGGAGTTGACAGACTGTTTTATCCCAGAGAATTATTTTTCTCATTTGTTTTCACCCCTTTCACCTCACCCCCAACGCATTTATGTCTTCATACTTTATAAGCATAGACATCTTAACAGGTACTGGTGGATGGGGGTCAGCTGTGAATACGGAAATACATATTAAGATTTAAAATGTAAAGGGTTGGCTAAATGCAAACGAAAATGGGCAGCTGAACTTTGGACATTGGTAATATAATTCCTTATACTTATAGGATGGCTAATGACAATGCTTTCGGTATGTGATTTCTGGACTTGCAGGTTGTGTGTGCCAAAATCTCTGCTCTTCTTTCCAGACCATGTGTACTTGTGTGGGAATAGATTTTATGTATATTGTAGTTTTCATAGATTTTTTTGACCTAACAAGTGTCTTATTAAATTTGCCATCTTCTAATATTGTATAAAGGAGCTGGTAACTTTTTCCAAGGAACCGAGTTTACTTCAATGAAGGCCTTTTCTGATCTTCTGCTCTGTCATACTCATGTTCCAGATCTCCTTTTCTCCTGTCCTGGGTAGAGTACAATCATGTCTCACCCGCAGAAGAACCTCAACCCCCGACCCTCTTGTCTAGGAAACTGGTAGTAGTAGTGTGGACATCCTCACTGGACCTCTCCCTTCCATTCTTGTGCTTATGGTGATGACGACAACCACAGCAGGCTAATCTCACCATCACCTGGAACTAGAGGCACAGGACACTTCAGAGACTTGCAGAAGAAGGTAGGATAGAAATACAACTAAAAAAATAAGGTAACATCCCTGACCGGTTTGGCTCAGTCATTAGAGCGTCGGCCTGTGGTCCAGAGAGACCCGGGTTCAGTTCCCGCTAAGGGCACGTACCTTGGTTGCAGTTTGTCCCCGGCCCTGGTTGGTCGTGAGGGTGGCAGCCACTCGATGTGTCCCTTTCATGTATGTTTCTCTCTCTCTCTTTTCCTCTCTCCCTCCCATTCTGTCTGAACAAAAAAGGGTAGAAATGCCCTCGGGTGAGGATAAAAAAATAAAATAAATAAAACAACAAAGAATAATATTTTTTAAAAATAATTTTTATTTGTTGATTTTAGACAGAGAGGAAGGGAGAGGGAAAGAAAGATAGAAACATTGATGAGAGAGAACATCGATTGGCCACCTCCTGCATGCCCCTCACTAGGGATCGGATTCACAATCTGGGCATGTGCCCTGACTGGGAATCGAACTGGCGACCTCTTGGAGCATGGGTCGACGCTCAGTCACTGAGCCACGTCAGCCAGGCCAAAGAATAGTCTTTAGGCATGAGGAAGTATGGAGTCAAGGTCAAAATATAAATCAAGATTAAGAAAGTTATCAAATTTGGGTACAATTATCACACTGCCACGAAGTGTTATTTTGGCAGCTTCAACATGATGCAGTGTGTGAAGCCATTTAAGGAAACAAGTCTTTTGAAGAGTGTTTAAAGAAGGAACATTAATTATTTCCTTAATGAGTAGAAAGTATGTGAGCAGAATGATTGAGTGTTACAAGAAATAAAATTCTTAATATATGCACCAGGACAGATGGCCTACAGATAGTCTTTTTAATAGATTTTATAAAATGACTGCTTTTATGAAGGGTGCTTGTTTAAAAAAAATTCTCATGATTACCAAAGAACAATAGTCTGTTTTGCATTGCTCATTCTCTTTAATATCCCTAAAGAGGCTCTCTACCTGGGTTCTGGAGATCTTGAACAGATGTGTCAAACATGTGAGCTTTGGGGTGTACAGACTGCCTAACTGTGGAATACAATTATACAAGACACTGCAGTGAGTGATTGGAGTATAAAGAACTCATTTCATCATTATGATTTAAAGCTGGACAAAGATGGCAATGGAAAGTTACCTCTCCTGCTAAATAATGCAACTGAGCTCATACAACTATTTCTGAGAGTCTCACATGTGTTTGCTCATAAAGAAGTCAGCTACATGTGATATCTACTTCTTTTATTCCTCTGTTTTTTTCCTGCCCCACGTCTGCTGGGTTGTACTGACACATACTAGGGACCTAGTAACACAATGGACATCTGAGTTACTGAGGACACCACTCCCTACCGCAGTGGTTACTTCCAGTGGTGCAGGGGGCCCTTGAGATGCCAGTGTTATGCTACCCTCAGAGCTTCTCTGCTTCCCCGGGCAGCCTTCCATGAGGGTCGTCAGAGTGGTATTGGCTCCTGCTCTTATATTTAGAGGATCTGGGGGGACATAGCCTTTTTTGTTCTTTGTTCACAAGCTCTATTCCTTCCCTGGCAGAGATATGAGTCCACAGGGAGCCGAGCAGGGGACAAAGCCAAGTAGTAACATTGCGCCATACCTAGGATTAGCCTTCCCTTCAGATGCTTGATTCTCCACTTCCTGTGGGATGGATTTAATTTTAACTGCTCCTCTGTCCCTCATTCTGATGGACAGTTGGTGGTCTTGGTTACCTCATTTCATCAGACATGTCGAGAGGGTTCTGGCTTAACATTGAGTTGCAACTTGGAGCTACATTTATAATGCTGTCAAAATATATGTCTCTCCTATTGAAAGGGGTTTCATTTACCAAATGAGAAGCGCCTTTGAGATCAGGAGCCATTGTTCAGTTTCTTTGACGATATGTCATAGGATTGTGGCTGCTTCCAGATTCACAAGAGGGTGTAGTGTAGATGATAATGAGCCTCTTTTCAAAGAGGCAAAGATAAGTAAATCATGGTGAAGACCACCGCAAGAGACATGTAGTTTAAAAAATTAGAACTTTCTGAATGATTTATATGTCCTTGTCTTCATGACACCTCTTTTCTCTCACACTTCACATCCACATAGAAGGAAACATTGTTGATGCTACCATCTAAACATATCTAGACTTTGACAACTGGTTACCATTCTTGTTGCCTCCATCCTGGTCCAGCCACCATCAGCTCTCATGTGGGTTATTGTAATAACCTCCAACGTGATCTTTGCTCCTCCCACCATCTGTTTTTTTAAGGCGAAGTGATCTTTTAAAAAATTTAAGACAGGTAATGTTAATCTTTATCTTACACATTTAATACTTTAAAATAGCCTTCCATTTTTCTCATAACAAAGTCCCACATTCTGTCATTGGGACTGAGTTCTTTATACTAGAATAATAAACTATAATTATAGAAACAGATTTTTAAATAGGATTTTTCTCAGAGATAACAAAGAAATTCTATATTTAGTGAAGTAGGATAATTAAACAATAAAGCAAAACTCAAGTAAATACGAGCTAAGAGTTCTAGCTCTGCCTCCAAGTGATCTTGTTGAAGTCACTTTTTGTCTCCCAGTCTATTTGTTTCTTATAAAAATTAATGACATGGCTCCACATTATTTGTAAATGTTTTTCCAGTCCTAGGATTTATGTAAAAACTATATGATCAAACTGTAAACAATGGGAATGTAATTATAGATTGATTTTTCCCCTCACAAATGTATTTATGAATTTACATTTCTCACCAGTCACTTTGTTAAAAGCAAGATAATTCATTTAATACAGTTTTAGTGTGTTAATCTAAGGTCATGGAATGTAGCAGGCAGACCCAAAGGAAAATCAAACCTTTGGCTTTGGACAGATTGGCATAGTATTGTCATCAAGTAAGTTAATTAACCACAGTCAAATTAATAATCATGGAAAAAAACCTTCCTTCTTGGTTCTATGAAATGGTCTCTTTTGAGATGATTTTTAGAATTGTGATCACCATATCTTTAATTATAATATAATAATGATGGTAATAATGACTACAATGATGGTAACATTTGTTGAGGACTTACTATATTCCAGGCACTGTTCTAAGTACTTTTTATATATTAACTGTTTAATTATCAAAACAACACAGTGAAAGAGTTACTGATATTTCTCTCAGATTGATGCATGGAGAGGTAGGAGCTCATCAGAACATGCTGCAGTGCCAGAGCTGGGATCTGAACCTGGGCAATTTGTCTTCAGAATTCTTGCTCTTAATCACTTAGTTACACTATGTGCTAAGCTTATTGTTCTGTTTAAGAGATATCGTGACCCTTACTTTCCCTTCACTGTGCCCTTTCTTCTGGAGATTTATTTTATTGCTTACATTCACCTTCTTTGGGAAAATCAACTGGATTATCTCTGTGAGAAAATTATTTTACATTTCTAAATATTCTCTATTGCTTTGAATCCCTTTTAGTTCTCTACTAGTAATAAATGTTTTATATGATAACTCAATACAGGGCCATTATTTTCAAGGTCATTATTTTTAATTTTAACATGAGACTCCATAATACCATTCTCTGTTTGACAGCAGACTGTATCTATGGAATTATATTTATATAGAAGCCAATTTGGAATAAGTGGGTGCTATTTCTCTGAAGTCCTAAGTTATAATAGTTAAAATTCTAATTGTTAACTAATGGACTTGTTCTAATTCTTATATCCTTCTTTTATTTGAAAAAAGTAAAAGTAAGCATAATTTAAGTATATGAACACATAATAAAAACTACCATTTATTGAGGTTTTGGTATATACAAAGCTATTAATATATAATATATACACCCTAACAACAATCCTGAAAGGTTGATTTGAAAGATAGAGAAGTAAAACAATTACCTAAAATTTCTAAATTTATAAGTAATAGTGATAAGATTCAAATTTACTGCTACACCATAGCATCATATAGATATGTAAATATCAAGTTGCAACCTCAATGATAAGAACCAGGTTTTATAAACTTGTTTATTTTCTCAAAATGCCAACAGTGTTTTGATGTGGTCAATATTCAGTAACTATATCAGAAAGCTTGAAGAG